TTATATTATTTGTTGTATCATTATAAAGATACTCATGTTTGTATAAACACTATAAATGAGGAGGACTTTTCTCCTCCTCAGTCCCCTGGTCTAAATGCAGACACAGTGGATAGCTGGGCAGCAGGTCTCTTGCCAAATCTTTTCCCACCATTAGCTCTCCCGGTCATATGGAGAATTTTAAAAAATAGGCGAACACAGGAGCCCAGATTAGCAATGTGTCTGAATGGTAACAAACTCAACTGATAAAAAAGAAACAAAGCTCGCCATTGTCCAAAAACATGCAACAAACCCTGTGACTCATTTCTCAAGATCTCAAAATCTCAATAATTGTGTTGCTTCCACTCATTTTAAATAAGTAGCTTAAATAAGCAGTAAACATTTTTTGTAGTGCAGTATTGTTATCATTGGTAGTCTGTGAATAATTCTTTATGAATAACCTAAAGTATTTTTAGAATGCATTTTAAGGGTCCCTAAGCAAAAAGGTATCAGTTCTACAAAATCTTCAACATGTCGACACAGACAAACCTCCCCCAGGCCTCAGCTGCAAGAGTTTTTGAGGGTCCAAGTCGATGATGTTCATGGACAGCCAATGAGGACCATTAGCTGGCATTATGAAGATATGAAGTAGTTTTATGCAGAAATAATGACTCATTTTAGACTGCAGAATATTTTTTTCTTTTCTTTTGCGAGATAATAACTCTCTTATAACTTCTCTAATAACTTTCACATTCACTTACTGCTATATTAGGACATGAATTGCAATTAAAAAAAGAAGCCTGCTCTGAAAGCTTAATGTTGTTTAAATCTGAAGTGTGTCGAAGCAATCCATTCATTTCTACCACACTACTAAGTGATGCTTCAAGTATGCAGTTCTATGCTGTGGTGAGCAATGTGTTTGGACTGGCGACCCAGTAAAGTCTGGTATGCGGCGGCAATTAATTCGAGTTCTTTTTGTTCTGCTGATCTTCACTGTGTGACTTTGACTGGTGGGAGAGAGGCTTTTATGTCTGAAAAGCAGCAGTACAGCTTGCACACAGGTCACAAATACAACTTTGGTGAAATTAGGGTTATTTATGTTCATGAGGCGACTTTGTCTTATATGGTGTATGTCAGCTTTAAGAGAAGGTTTTATTGGGCAACTGAACAGGTTTACTAGCGTGTTCATGAATTAAGTCCAGACGATTTAAAACCTATCCAGTGTCCAGACTCTTTGAAAGCCTATTGAATGTCATTGTATAGGACCTGACAGAAGCTAGACAAATATGAGGAAATAGTCAGAATAATTTGGATTCCTGAACACTGAAGCAAGCGTTTACATGTGCTTAAATGATGATCGAAATGAGTAAAAATGTTAAATCTCAAAGTTTTGAAGAAAGTCCAGTGCTTCCCAGTGGTTTGAAATATACTTGCGGTGGTAGTTGGATTGAAACGCATCAATTACCCACACCACATAAATAGTTAACTATATGCGACAAACAAAACATAATTTAATTTTATTTATTATTGCTTTCAAGTTCAAAACAAACTTGATTGCTAAAGTATTCTAGATATAAAATAGCCTATATGTAATATAACCTAATGACATCATCAAATTAATCAAATATGCAGCAAATGAGAAGTAAATGACAGAAAAACGGAATTACAGACAATATCTCAAATTTAAAGATTAAATAAGGCAAATGCTTTGATTTACCCATTAGGTGTACATATATTTCATGGTTTCTGCAACAGGGCGGCACACTAAAATTCACACTGCGACGGCTACATTACAGCTTCTTATTCAAAACTTTCATACACTGACTTAATCTTGCTGGAGTTTATAGCCATTTCACTTTAGGAAGCATTAATACTGCTCTGTAGGTCTATTGGAGAAATTCATAAATATTCCTAGCAAATCTAATAAATGTTGCAGACATCACGTTACTCTTACATAAAACACACTAAATCGCACTTCAGCAGTGTTTATTTGAGAGCACACAAGTAAAATCTGGACTTGAGCAGCGTGTATATGAGGGTGTGCAAGAAGTTTTGTGCACGAACAGAGGAAATCTGCAAGCAAAGAGATTTGCACACATGCTCGTATTGCATAAATGTGATCTTGACTTGTAATACTACGCTCACAACATTTTTCATTAATATAACGCCATTGTTAGTTGGTAGAGCTGTGTAAATGGACTGACGCCACAGCTGGAAAAAAAATCCTAGAGGAAACACTGTATTTTGCTGGAGGTTTAGACCAGTCATTTCGTCCTCTCCGAGTATGTAGCTAAAGCTAAGCTAAAGTTGGCTTAAGAAAAAGGTAATGCAAAAAACGCAAACAATTAACGAACAAATCCTGGACGTTTTAGGAAGTTTAGAAACCCGGCCAAATGTTTCTCTCGTGACTGCTTTTGCAGTCAGCTCCAAAGCCAATAGAAAGCTGCAAATGCAATAAACGCAAATGATCACCGAACGAATCCTTTAGATTTAGAAACCTGGCCAAACAAATTTAAGTGCCAAAAAGGCGTGACTCAGTCGGTCTGCGGGTCAGTCAGTCTGTCAGTGTGAGTGCTAAAATGTCTCATGCACACTGAACAAAACACGTAAACGAGAGGTTTTAACACTACGTAATTGATCGCAGATATTTGGTCATCATTGTATATATTGTAATTTGTTTGTATACGGCAACGCTGTGGCACAGTGGGTAGTGCTGTAGCCTCACATCAAGAACGTCGCTGGTTCGACCCTTGGCTGGGTCAGTTGGTGTTTTTGTGTGGAGTTCTGGGTGCTTCGTTTTCCTCCATAGTCCAAAGACGTGGTAAAGACAGGTGAATTGGTAGGCTAAATTGTCCGTGGTGTATGAGTGTGAATGAGAGTGTATGGGTGTTTCCCAGAGGTGGGTTACAGCTGTAAGGGCATCCGCTGCGTAAAGCATGTGCTGTATAAGTTGGCTGTTCATTCTGCTGTGGTGACCCCGCATTAATAAAGGGACTAAGCCGAAAAGAAAATGAATGAATGAAAGAATGAATGTTTGAATACTCGGGTGCCTGTTAATTTACCTGGGCGGTGCACTCAAGTAAGGTCTATGTGTGGGAAGCACTGAAGGCAAGTGTTATCCAAACGAAGTCTCCTATTGTGCAAAGTATTTAATAGCTCATTGGTGTTATAGGGATATTACAGCATTGTGTGTGAAGAGTTTTTTTTCTTTTCTCCGCCAGATTCTCTGATCATCTGGTGTTTTGGACTTGAGATTAGTTTCTATTTCAGATTTTTTTTTTTTCACCTTTATTTCTCCCATGTGTCCCCAAGCACTGTTGGCCATGTGTGCATGTTTTCACATAAGAGTCAAGCTGTGCTGCTGTGGAGAGCTGGACTTCCTGTCTGTTCTCCCCCAGCCCCACACCCAGCCTGCTTAACTTCCTCTTATTGTAAGGGTACACATACACATTCACACACACACACACACACACACACACACACACGCGCACACACGCACACACACACACACACACACACACACACACACACACGCTTATAAAAACAGGGCATTTTGAGTGTCACCATAACTGACATGGACTTGTACTGCAGCTTGTTAAACGGATAGTTCCCTCAAAAATAAAAATTCTGCCATTTACTTGACTTTGTTTTTTTTTCTGTTGAACTTGATAGGATGTTTTGAAGAATGTTGGAAACTTGTAAACATTGACAACTTTGTTAGGAAAAACATAACGTAATATTTTGTTCGACAGAAAAAAAAAACCTCATACTGGTTAAGAACAAAGGTTGAGTAAATAATTTCCATTTTTGTGGGAATATATCTTTGTAGATCTCTCTCTATATAAAACATGACTCTTCTTTCATTTTATGTCACCCATAACTTTCACTTCTCTAAATGGAAAGGAACTGTACCACTTTGTGATGTCATTGTATTTAGAAACGCGTATCAGTGTTGTTTGTTTATAATAAACAGTTTTGTTATATGCTTAGATACTTTATATTTTGAGGATGTTGACGATTATAGCCCCTTTCACACAGTAATTCCAGTTAATATCCATACAATTACTGGAACGGCTTTACTGGTATTTTTAAAAAGGGCCTTTTGACACACAATCCATTTATGGAAATTTACCAGTAACTTCAATGATGAGTATGATGGTGTCCATGGCGGATGATGGTGTCAATTTTGATGATGATGATGAGGAATGTTATGGTGTCAAAGATTGTGGTGGTGGTTTTGGTGTCTATGGTGGTGTCGATGTCAGTAATAGTGTGGATTATAAGTATATGAGTGTTATGAGTATATTGTAGAGTCAATGGTGTTGGTAATTGTTTTTTATTTAACGTCTTTGATAGACTTCGGAATTAAGAAAAATACTCATTCTGTTTCAGTCACACAACTGTTTTCATACACACCAATTGCTTTCATGCCTATTTAAGTAGATTTTTAAATGAAGGTTTTATTAGCACTAAAATAAATATATGCTATTGTAAATGCAGTTTTTAAGGCTGCAATAAAAGGATCTAAAAGTACAGGAATTGTCTGCTTGACTCTGCTTATAGAAGGTTGTGAATAACCCAAATAATCACTGCTTCATAGTTCATTTTCTAAGTGACCTAGTGTTTGGATGATGTTGTTTTTTGTTTGTTTGTTGTATTTTCCCCTTCGTCCCATTTCTGGCCAAATGGCATGTGGCATTTCTGCACTGTGTCAGAGATGTTACTTTGTCTCTAATAAGATCACAAACATGAAACATTTTTTCTCCCTCTTCGGCTTTTGCCTGTTTTGACCACTGATAAAATCTAGCTTAAGCCTCTTCAAAGTCCTGGCTACTCCTAAGACTTTTTGACCTTTAAGGACCTTTTAGGATGTTTCGTGAATAACTTTTATCTTTACTAGGATCTTCTCTTTAATTGTATGGGAAACCTTACAGTTTTCTGAGAAATTTCTTTAGAATTTTGTCTCTTGGAGCAACTCTTTGTGCTAAGAATCTTCATAAATACAGGCCCTGTTTTCTTGTTTAGGTTTGCCTGAGGAGTGTAAAGTTCAGACTCCGGCGTTCACAGATGCAGTGCGACTTTATCGACAGTCTCATGGTCATTATGGAACCTGGGATATGATGTGTGGGAAGCCTCCACAGGTAATGACAAAACACAATATTCAATATATCTTTATATGTTAGAAGACCTCATATTTGTTTGTTTGCTTTCACTTATTTTTTCCTCTGAATCCTTTTATTCATAAATTATTTTTTCTATTATTTTACATGTAATTTACTTTATTTGATTTTTATTTTTTTTTATTGTATTTTGGACACTGGTCGATCCAGCAAATAAATGTTACCTTGTGTTCTATTAAGTTGTTGTTTTTATGTATTTTATTTTAAATAAATGTTTTTAATAAAATTGTATATAGTTAATATATAATAATATTAATAATATAATTAATAATATTAATATATTTATTTATATAATATTTGTATTTATTATTTATTTATTACTTATTAGTAATTATTTGTTTATTTATTTTATTTTTATTTTTTATTATTGTTTTTTATAACTTATTATTTTTTATTTATTTATTCAAAAAAAGCAGTGTGTAGAAGGGTGAAATGATGTCACCCAGTATTTGTTTGGGTTATAATTGAAGGTCAGAGCTAAATTAAGTCATGGGAAGTGACCCAGTTCAGTAAAAAAATAAATATTGTGTTACTTCAGAGAAAGAGAACAGGGTATATTGACCTTTTTAGGTGTGTTATTAGTCAGCTCTGCAAAATTGCAAAAAGAACATATTTATTACATGTTCATTTAACACTGCATTAACATTTATTTAAAGACATGTATGGTGAGTGTAGATCTTGAACATGAATAACATTAGTGGAGTCTGACCTTGATCTTTTATCATTGATTAAAGTCATGTTACAAAATCACATGATGAAGATAAATACATTTTTATAATATTTGTTTAACTGTAAATGGCAGCTTGCCTCTGTTTAACCTGTGATCCTCTTGGCAGCATCATCAAATTTACTTTTATTTTTATTTTATTTTTTTTATCTTTTTCACTTATTTATTAATTTATTAGTTTATTTTATCAACTGAGCTCTTTAACTTTATTGTTTTCTCTCTGAAGTGAGTAAAAAATAGAACATGCGTTGTGTGTGTCCTCCAGTAACTTCCGACTGTAACTCTGATCTACTGTATATGGTTTAAATTTTCAATGTTTGCAATATGTCGGGCTGAACAATAGATGTTAATCCTGCACAGGTTTATTTTTCTTGTAATTCAGTAACACTATTCTTGTATGTTTTGCGAGAAGGATGTCACCGTAGCCAGTTTAATGACACATGAACTTCATTCAGACAGACTAAAAGTAGTACAGTAGTAATTGTAATGTGCTTTAGGCAGGCCGGGTTTCCTCATATGTCTAGTCAATGTGATGGGTATGAGTAAATAAAGCCTCCAGGCCTAATGTGTCAATCAAACTCACAAGACGACTTCATAATTTCTCTGCAATCAATCTCATGTTGATTTTGACGATCGCCACTGTAAAGTGTTGTTCTTTCTTCAGTTGTTTTCTGACTGTCACTGCAGATCCTCGCTAATCTGGTCATGGAGACCCTCCTCCCTGAGATGAGAGACCTCATAACTCCGAAACTGAAGGGCAAGATGCATGAGAGACAGAAGAACTGGATGCTGGTATGTCCTGCATTTTAGATGCTTTTTGAAAAAAAAAAGTAATGTAAAAAAAGGTTTTACTTTTTAAAATTAATTCATTTGTTTAATTGTTTATTTATTAATTTGTTTGTTTATTTATTTGTTTATCTGTTTTTCATTTGTTTTATTTGTTTTTGTTTGTTTGTTTTTTGTTTGTTTATTTACTTAGTAATATTTTATATTTGTTGTCTTTTTTTATTCATTTTTTAATTCATTATTTTATTACATTGGTTAAAATTAATGAGTAATTATTTACCCAAGATTTATTTGTTTTATTAGGTTTTTTCACATTATTTATTTATGTTGTATAAGTAATTGTGTTCAAAAAATGAAACCAACAAGCAAACACTTGGCATGAGCTGATCTGATTTCCCAACAATTTATTTTATTATTTTTTTTTTCTTGTTAATTCTTTTTGTGTTATCTTTCTTAGTATTTATTTGTTTGTTTATTTGTTTGTTTGTTTATTGGTCGGCAAAACCATTTTATACTTTGTGCAGTATAGTATTTATATATTTTTTTTTTACAATTGTATACATTTTGTACTATATGCTTTTTTATTTAATGATCGTTATTATATTAATACTTTTTGTTGATTTCATTTTTTGTTCTTTTTATTGTTTTGTAGTTTTATTATTTTTTTACATTTTTAATTAATAAATGAGTAATTATCAAAAATGTATTTTTTATTAAAGTTTTCATTATTTATTTTATTTCATTATTTATTTATATAAAAAAGTAATTGTGTTGAAAACCTACTGAACAAGCAAACATTTGACATGAGCTGAACATTTTATACCTTTTTTTTCTTGTTGATTCTTTTGTGTTATCTTGCTTTGTTTTCTTATTTACTAATTAGTTTTGTTTGTCTACTACTCTTGTTTTAATATTTTTGTTTCTTAATCTTCGTATTTAATTTTTTATTTATTTCATTTTTTTATTAATACACAAGTGATTTACAAGTAACTTCCCAATGTTTAATTATATTTTGTGTGTTGTGCAGTCTTGTTTAAAAAAAGTACAGTGCTCAGTATAATTGAGTACACCCCATTTTAAAAATGAATATTTTTAGCCATTTCTCAGTGATTATAGGCAATGTATTTTGGTGCATTTAAACAAAACAGATTTATTTAACAGATATTTTTATGAAAATAATATTTTAGTCAACAAACATATTTAGAAATTGAAAGATAATACAATTAAATTCAAGCTAAATATTAAATTTAATCATGAACTACAAAATTTCAACTAATTTTTTAATTTTTTTTCTTTCTCTTGATTTTTCCTCTTTTTTTTAATTTGTATTTAATATTTTTCCATGACATACAGTATAAATTTGGATGTACTAGTTCTTGGACCATTAGTTATTTTGTTAGATAAGCTCCAGATTTGGCTTCAGTACTGACTAATCTAATGTATTTGCACAAATAAAAAAACTATAGCATCCTATAAAAATATTAAATTAAAAGATAGATTTGTGAGGGGTATACTTGTATATGCTGAGCACTGTATATTTTATTTTGTTGTGTTTTAATTCACAATGATATGTATAATATAAGGGTCCTAATTTTATTGACGTTGGTGTAGCACATTAGTAGTATAAAGTCTGCTTTGTAAGGAATCAGATCTTTCTATTTTCCAGCAGCCTGGCTTTACTCCAGTGTGTTTTGTGTTCAGATATCAGATGCAGTGTACGGCCTGGTTCAGAGTCAGGCTCAGGCTCAGTATGAAGCTGTAGTGCAGAGCTGTGAAGCAGGTCGACCTCCTCTTGAAACCACCATCCGCACAGACATGGACCAGATCATCACTTCCAAAGAACACGTGACCAGCAAAATACGAGGTTTGACGTCTTTTCTCCTACAATTCCTTCATATGTCTTTACTAAGTGACAGAAACGGGCTGCTTATTATTTATCTGGAAATAACCTGCCAGATGTTTATCTTATCATATCAGGTTTCTGGTGATATGCTTTCCTAGGAAGTGCGTTTTAAAGGGATTGTGAAAGAACAGACAACGTTTTGACAGCTTTTCTGAAGTGTTGTTGACGCACATGATAGAAGTGTTCTTCAGAAATTGCAAAAACGCCTTCTGTTTGTCTGTCCTATGTATTCATAATATCCTTGGATATTTTATTATGATGTAAAGAAATAACTAATTAGTCACTTGTGGCCAGGACCAGGCAGCATTATTATTAATTTTTGCTATTTCTGCACAGATTTTGTAAAAAAAAAAAAAAAATATATATATATATATATAGAGAGAGAGAGAGAGAGAGAGAGAGAGAGAGAGAGAGAGAGAGAGAGAGAGAGAGAGAGACTTTGACTTTAACAATCTCTTTATTTACAACCATTTTTTTACCACATTAATGAAAAATCACAAACCTTATACATATACATACATTAGAAAATAAACATATATATATATATATATATATATATATATATATATATATAAGAGCTGGCTAACATTCAACAATCAAACAAGTATTTCCAAACAACCATTTTGACCAATTTCACAGAGGCATTGATTAATACACCATTTAGATCTAAAAGTGTCCAAATCATCAATCAACTTATAATACGCATATTCTATTTTAATACGGGATTTAATAAGTTCCTTAAAAACCAAAAAAACATCAGTCAAACCCAGACCTGTCAGTTTCCTTTTCCGTGACAACCAAATAGCCAATTTTGCTTTTCCAAAAATAAAATTTAATAAAACATGGACATGCATCTTGTTCCTGTTGTATTTAGGCCCATAAATAAAAAGACTGGGTGTAAAAACTTCTCCTAACATTTGACAGTATCCATTCAGTTGATAAAGGAACATTTCTAATCTAGAGCAATTTAAAAATAAGTGAAACACTGTTTCTCCCATATTGCAAAAAGGACACCCCTCCATCACCTGTGGATCAATGTGTGCTCTGTGTCTGTTTGTGGCTATTATACCATGCACTATCCTCCACTGAAGGTCTCCAGACCTTTTTTCAATAGGAGGTTTGTACAGGGTCCTCCAGCAACCTTTGGGAGAAGAATCTGGTTCAAAAAGAGTCTGCCACTTTGATTCCTTCAGGCTTTCAAGCATGTGGAAATGCACTACTTTTACACAAAGTGTATACAGAGTTTTTTTCCCTGCATCTTCGAACAGACTTGGCTGAGGTATTCTAAAAGAGAGAAGTCCTCCTTCTGTCTCCTGCCATTCTCCTGTATCCGCTGAGAGAATCAACTCTGGAAATACTGAAACGTCCTCCTCTGAAGTCAATCTAATGTTCACTGGTACATTCTCCTGTATTTCAATCAACAGTCTTTCAGCCACCCGTACTGATCTCATGCCCAATCTTAAGGCTAAGGCCTCAGCATTTATCCATTGTCCTCCAGAAACCAAATGTCCAATTTTAGTGATCTTTGCAGACCACAAAGCTTTTCTGAAAGAATCAGATTTAAAAATGTTCAGGTCCATAGCAGAATTAAAAAGGAGTGGTTCTTCTTTCGACCAGAGGCCCCGTATACTTCCGAGTTCTCTTGAAACTTTGAATCGTGACCATGTTCTCAGCAGTGATCTGTAAAAAGCTGTTAGACCAGTTAAATCCAGCTTGTTAGTGTCCATTAAAAATAAGTGACGATCTAGGCCCATGTTACCAGCTTTCTTTAAAAGTGCACAGGCAATTCCTGCCCAACACACGTCCTTCCCATAGAGCAACCTCTGAGCCGTCTGAAGTCTAAAGGCTTCAACTCTGGATCCAATATCCACAAGTCCTTGTCCGCCTTCCTGGATAGGCAAGTATAAAACGGATGCCCTTAGCCAGTGCTGTCCTGACCAAAAAAAGTCTATGAGTTGCTTTTGGATCCTTGCCACCAGGTCCCTGGGGGGCTCTAAAATCATCATTTTATGCCAAAGAGATGAGGCCACCAAGTTGTTGCATATCAATACTCTCCCCCTATAGGAAAGCTGGGGTAGCAACCATCTCCAGCGAGACAACCTCGCACACACTTTCTCCACAAGCCCCTCCCAATTTTGTTTTATAAAATCATCAGTGCCTAGAAAGACTCCTAGATATTTAAAACCCATTCTGCCCCACTGCAAATTACCCGGAAGCATAGGACCATTAGTAGCTTGACCACACCATAGAGCATTACTTTTACTCCAGTTCATTCTTGCAGATGATGCTTTGCCATATTGTTCAATTATTTCTCTTAAAAAATGAACATCACTATGATCTTTTACTATAACTGTTAAATCATCAGCATAAGCAGAAATCTTTACAGGCTCTTGGAAATCTAGTTCAGGAACACTTAACCCAGTTAACCATCTTCTTAATTTACTCAACAGTGGCTCAATAACTATACTATAGAGTTGTCCTGAAAGAGGACAACCTTGTCTGATACCCTTGTGAATTTCAATAGGAACACTAAGACCACCAGCCATTTTAACCATACATGTAGCCTTATTATAAAGAACTTTAACCATGGAAATAAAACTGTCACCAAAACCAAAAGCTTTTAGAGTTTCAAAAAGATAGTTGTGATCAACTTTGTCAAAAGCTTTTTCCTGGTCTAATGACAAAAATCCAAGATTAATATTATTTTTAAAAGCAAAATCATAAACATCCCGTACTAAGTGTAAATTATCTAAAATCGATCTTCCTTTTATACAGTATGATTGATCTTTGTGTATGATTTCATGCAATACATTATTTAGCCTGTTTGATAAACATTTTGCTATAATTTTGTATTCAGAACACAAAACTGCTACTGGCCTCCAATTTTTTAAAAGAGTTAAATCTCCTTTTTTCGGTAACAAAGTTAAAACAGCCCGTTGACAACTGACAGGAAGAATCTTCTTTTTCATACATTCTTTAAGCACTTCATAGTAATCAGCTCCTATTAAAGTCCAAAATGTTTTAAAAAATTCAGAAGATAACCCATCTATCCCAGGTGCTGTTCCTGAAGAAAGGTCCATAACAGCAGCAGTAACTTCTTCAAACTTAAAATCAACCTCTAAAAGTTCTTTTTGCGTTGAAGTTAAAGAAGGAATGTCCTGTAACAATTCATTTCTGCTTTGTTCGTCAGTGGTTTCAGCAGCAAATAAATTAGAATAATAACGTACAGCAAGTCTACGCATTAAAACTGGATCTGAGGTGTCCTGACCATCATCATCTTTTAAAACAAACATCAATTTTTCTTGTCCTTTTTTTTTCTCCAAGTTGAAAAAGTAAGATGTTGGACCATCCATGTCTTTTATGGTTGAGAAACGGCTTCTTACAAGTGCCCCTTTAACTTTTTCATTTAAAATAGAACCCAACTGGTTCTTTTTTTCAGTCCACAATTCTTGTAGGTTACCAGCATCATTAACAGTCATACTTTTTTCAATTTCCTCTATTTCCTTTTCCAATAACTCTATTGTTTTTTTAAAAACCCCAGAGGATTGGGCAGCATATTGCTGACATAGAACCTTTATTTGCACTTTACCAATTTCCCACCATTGAATAATATTTTCATACAACCCCTTCTCATTCTTCCAAGCCTCCCAAAAAGATTTAAATGTTTCACAAAAATATTTATCTTGCAATAGTTTGTTGTTAAAATGCCAATAGTAGCTCTTATGAGTCCTGTTTAACAATGTACACTCAACTGTGATTAATTTGTGATCTGATAGAAATGAAGGAATAATATTTGCACCAACCACTCTATTTTTTACATTGTTCGATACATAAAACCGATCTAAACGTGCTCCAGAAAACCTACCATCATTTATTTTTACCCAAGTGTACTGTTTTATTGAAGCATTTTGTTCCCTCCACACATCTGAAAAATATTGATTCTTTAAAATTCCAGCCAGACGTGAAGCTGATTGCATATGTGGTTCTTCACCATTCCTATCATATTTAAAATCTAAAGTGCAATTCCAATCACCTCCTATTATAATAAAGTCCCCATCTTGCTGTTGTTTTAAAAAACACTCTAAATTAGAAAAAAGCTTTAATCTATCTGCCCCATTATTTTGAGCATAGACATTAATAAACAGGAAAGAAAGATCATTAATTTTGGCTCTTACAGCTACCAATCTACCTAACTCTATCTCATTTATCATTAAAATTTGAACTTTTAGAGCAGAGGAGAATAATATAGCCACACCAGCGCTAAGATTCGTCCCATGACTAAGCACTTTCTCCCCTTTCCAACACAAACCCCATTCAACCCCATGCAAAAAAATAACATTTAGTTGCTTAATCCTTATGGATTCTAACAATAGGTTCCTCTTCTTTTCATCCCTCAAACCATTTGTGTTTAAAGAACCCACCCTCAAAATTTCCATATAGAAAAGAGAGAGAGAGAGGGAAACAAAGAGGAAAACAAGTAGTTTAAACATCCTAATTATTTAGATTTTCCCCTTGTTTTTCCTATCTTTCCAGTTGACCGTATATTAGTTAGATGTTTCCTCAGACGAAAGCGCTTCTGTTGAGACAACTCATCATAATTATGTTTCTTCCTGACAGACATAACTGAAGAGACAAATTTGTCTAAATCAGGAAAATAATCACTTATCTCAACACCAATTTTTCCTTTTGTTTTATCAAGAAAGGCATTGATTTGATCTAGGGTATATAGATCCTTATTAGCCTTCTTCACAACCTCAGACCATTGTTCATCATCTTCTCTCAGACCATCATCAGTGCACTGTGACAACCCCTCCATTTCATCATCAAAACTTTCCTTTGATCCACTTTCCTGTTCTGTACCACCTTCACACACAACTTCAGTATCACTCTGAGCTTTAGATTCATCACACTTAGCATTACTCCCATCTGCATTACTATCAGTACTACAGCCAGGTTTCTCCACATTGCCAGTAATATTAACTTCCAGCTCACTCACCTCTTGCTGTCCTGTCATTTCGTCTGTCCCCTGAACTCTCAATGTGTCCGCGTTACTCGTCTCAGCTTGGGATGAAGAAGCGCGTTGTTCATTTTTTTGAGGGCACAAAAAACGTTTGTGCCCAAAATCTCCGCATCCATAGCACCTCATACTTTCTGTGCTGGCATATATAATGAAGGAGCTCTCTTCATGAATGATGCGAAAGGACGCTTCCAATGTGCGCTCTGTGGAGTTTAGAAACATGTAAACCTGCCGCCTAAAAGACAGAACATGTTTCAGCGCGGCATTTTTGCATCCGAGTGGAATCCCCTTAACAGGGCTAGCAATCTTACCAAAACGTTGTAGTTCTTTTAGGATAGCCTCGTTACTTACAAAAGGTGGAACATTTGAGATAGTAACTTTTGTTGCTGGAGCGGATAGCGGGGTTATCGGAACAAACGCCTCTTTTACCCATATTCCGCTCACAGTCAACTCGTTTATTAGTGACTCGGATTTTAAAAACACAACCACGGCCTTGTTCATCCGCGAAGCCGAGACGATGTTTTCAAATCCGACTTTTTCTCCTATTATCTGGAGGATATCCTCCACTGTCACTTCAGGGTCTGCCACACACCTGCACCCATTCCGAAATGACAGAGCTGACGCTCCTTGTACTTGAACAGACGCCATACCGGCGCCTGTTAAGTCTTCCGTACGGGAAAAAACTTTCTCTACACTGTCTATACTACAAAAGAAAAAAGAAAAAGAGAAGAAAAGAATGATCGGAAAAGAGATAGAAAAAACAATCACTCAACGCTCTCAAACACGCACTCAGCTACACCTCACACTCCCAGCATGCACCAGAGAGAGAGAGAGAGAGAGAGAGAGAGAGAGAGAGAGAGAGAGAGAGAGAGAGAGAGAGGAATAACTTTGAAAGTATAGTAACACATGAACTAAAAATAACTTTTTTGTGTGGTTTTTTTTTTTTTTGTCTATAGGGCTTGTGCTGCCCAAAGCAGAGAAGCTTCTAAAGGTCAGCATCCAGCCATACATCAGCTCAATCCTGGACGCTCTGATGGAGCCCACGAGCCGAGGCTTCTTCGAGGTGCGAGACCTGTTCTTCAGAGAGCTGGTGGACATGAGCAAGAATCTCCTCAATGATGGAAACAAAGAGAAACTCGGCGAGGTAATGTAGAACTTCATTTTGCAGTTCTGTTTCACATGTACTTGCTGTATATTTAGTACAGTCATTACATAAACTGGGTGATAACAAGGTACTACCTCTAAACCTACACCTGAACCATGTTATTATTGCCTTATTTACATTTACATTTAGTCATTTAGCAGACGCTTTTATCCAAAGCGACTTACAAATGAGGACAAGGAAGCAATTTACACAACTAAGAGCAACAATGAATAAGTACTAAAGGCAAGTTTCAGGTCTGTAAAGTCTAAGAAGGGAAGTATTAGTAGTTTTTTTTTTTTTTTTTTTTTTTTTGTACAGTTAGTGTGATATTCAAAGAGGCAATTGCAGATTAGGAAGTGAAGTGGAGACTAAATAGTTGAGTTTTTAGTCGTTTCTTGAAAATAGCGAGTGACTCTGCTGTTCTGATGCAGTTAGGGAGTTCATTCCACCAACTGGGCAGATTGAGCGTGAGCGTTCGCGAAAGTGATTTTTTCCCTCTTTGGGATGGAACCACGAGGCGACGTTCATTTACAGAACGCAAGTTTCTGGAGGGCACATAGATCTGCAGAAGTGAGTGCAGATAAGAAGGTGCTAGGCCAGAAGTCACTTTGTAGGCAAACATCAGAGTTTTGAATTTAATGCGAGCAGCAACTGGCAGCCAGTGCAAACGGACTAGCAGCGGAGTGACATGTGCTCGTTTAGGTTCATTAAAGACAACTCGTGCTGCTGCATTCTGGAGCAGCTGAAGAGGTTTGATAGAGTTAGCTGGAAGCCCAGCTAGTAGAGAGTTGCAGTAATCCAGTTTGGAGATGTAACCAAACATTTCCTTGGGTAAAGTAAGTCTAAGGGTTAGTTCACCCAAAAATAAGAAATTCTTCAATTATTCTCACTCAAGTGGTTTTAGTTTTTTTTTTTCTCTCTCTTGATTTCTTTTTTCTGTTGAACACAGAAAAATATATTCTAAAGAATGTTAGACACTAGAAACTGTAGTAGGAGAAAATGGCTGTTTTTCCCCAACATTCTTCAGAATATTTTTCTTTGTGAAATATGAACAGAAGACATAAGCTTTTCTAGATTTTTGTACAGGTGCTTCTATACAGGTTTATATACTCTGTGACTACATGTGACCCCCCCCCACCCCCAAATCTCTCATCATCTGCGTACCCTTCAACTTTTCCAAACCAGTTTGAGTTTCTTTCTTTCGTTTAAACCAAAGGCAAATATTTTACAAATGCTGAAAACCTGTAACCATTTACTTCCATTGTTTTTCCTAATATGGAAGTCAGTGGTTACACATTTTTAGCTTTCTTCTAAATATCTTTTGTGTTCAACAAAAGAAAGAAACCCATTAAGATTTAAAAGCACTTGAGGCTTGGTAAATAATGAATAAATCTTCATTTTGGGTGAACTATGCCTCTAAAGCAGAGCTCAAACTGCCGGCCTGCTGGCATTAGTAAGATTCTACTGCTGGCTAAATTAAACATGTTAAAGTAAATGTGAATATGTACATAATTGTCACCTCTTTGTTGTAGTTTAAAAAAAAAAAAAGAATGATATTGAGATGAACAATTGCCAGTGAAGTCAATAAAGTTACTCAAACTGCGCTCTACTGTTTTGCGCTATCTGTTAACTTTTGGTTAAGCAACAGTTGATTAGGATATAATTATAATTATTATGCCTATTATTAAATTGTAGTATTTTCACAGAAATTTAAACTAACCCTTTAATATGTACAACAAGAAACAAAAAGAAAGAGCTTTGATACTCTGGGGAAGAATGTATGAGTGCATCAATTCCATCAGGTATCCAGTTTATTTGTGTGCTAGACTGTTAAAACGGCCCTCCGATGAATTCTCAGTCCTAGATTTGAGACCCCTGCTCTAAAGCCGTAGTTCATTCAGAAATATAAATTCTGTCATTTACTCATCCTTCACTTTCTTCCAAACAACTTTGAGCCTCTTTTGCTCATAGGTGCTAATAGGCGAGACATGAAAACCTTTTAATATCTCTTAAATCTCTTTTGTGTTTGCTGCCCAGCACATGGACAAGATCTCCATGCTGGCCTTTCATCCAGTGAAGATGCAGAACGGCTATGAGAAGATGGAGACTCTGAGTTTAGAGGGACTCCAGCAGCGATTTGACGTTTCCAGCCCGTCCGTGTTTGTCCAGAGAGCTCAAATCCTAATGCGAGAGGTCAGTCACCTTTGAGATGAAAAAAAAATCTGAAGAATTTCATTATAAACAACCACCCTTACTGTCACACTGTGGTATTGACAACAAACTACACGTGTACCAGTCATCTGAGCTGCTTTTATGAGATTTATGCCATCAGAATGGTTTGTTGAACTGCAGCTTGTTTAAAGATGTATAGAAACATCTCTGTTAGTTAGGAAGGGGGTTGTAACGGCAAAACAAGTGGTTTCTGTGTGTCAATTAGGGTTTGGTTTGAGGTTTTTGTTTTGTATGAAACTGTAGGCCCTGAGGAGGTATGTGCTGTTGTGGTTGAGATGTTAAACCTCATTTCGGTCACTAAATGACATGGTTGTGTTTTTATAGACTAGCATATGACTGTGGATTGTATCGACCCTTTTATATGAAAGCTTTTTTTTTTTTTTTTTACTGTAGAGACAGATTTTCAGAGCACTGGGAGTGGAGAAACATGATTGAACTTGAGTGTTGTGAATTACCAAAATGTTGATCCACCCTTTCCATGTGGTGAAATACGCCCCCTTGTGGTAATAAGGATTAGCAGACCATAGTTTCTTGTGAAATGCTTGTTGTTGTCTTTTTTTTTTTTTTTTTTGCTTGGAAATTTCACAGTGGCTATTGCACAAAAGCTAGATAAAGCTGGGATTTTAGAGCTCTCCTTGTTAAAATTTAGCTTCTGCTCAGTCACGCGATAGCAGGCTAAATTAAACTAAATTAAGTTACTATGGAGATTTATTCTTTGCAGCTGCACCAGAACAACCAGGCTAAGAGTAATCATGGTATTATATCTGTTAGTTTCACTGTCGATGCTACTAGAATTGTGTTTTATAGCCACTCCCTGTTCTTGGCTATGTACAAATACTTTCCAACCATTAAAATTTTAAATATGTACTTTCAAATGTATTCTTCAGGTCTATTTCCATCTTAGATGCAATCCTGCTTAACTTTGGATAAAGGCTAGAATACAATAAGATTCATTTTAAAGGTAGCACGTATTCATTATTGTTGAAGCTTTTATTGCAATACAGACATAATGTAAGCTGCAAAAAAAAGGGCTTTTTAAACATGTATAATAACAAAAGAGATTGTATACATTTCTGTTTGCTTCGTTGTATAAATGCTTGGTATCAGTTTATTTTGATTCCTTTAACGCATTGTGTTGAATTTAAGTTACATTGCATCTACATCTACTTCTCATTAGATTGTAAGTAGACTGTTAGGTTGGGTTAGGGTTAGTGTAAGTTATAGTCAATTAAATGTCTGTTGAAGGAGCAGTATCAGCAGGTATTAAGCAGACAGTCTACTAATACTCAAATGAGAAGTAATTGAGATCTTTTAGTCAACAAAATGTGTAATGGGGACCTTCAAAATCAAGTCTTACCAAATGTTTAGTGTAAACTCGTTCATTCATTTTCCTTCAGCTTTAGTCTCTCTTTTAGAGGTTGCCACTGTGAAATGAACCGTAAACTAATGTTTAAAATAAATTTAATTGCAAAAGGCTCATAAACCTCTTTGGTAAATGTTGAAAGTGAGAAACAGCTACATTTGTTACAAAATTTCTGTCATTGGTAGTATTCATTTTTGTTTTACTATACTAACGTTTGCTTTTTTACTGTTTACTTAAACCTACAGTAAGTAACTCCTTTGAATAAAACAGTTATGAGTTATTAAACATTAAGAAATTAATAGTAAACTAAAAGTGACAATGTTAATAAATGGAGCTTTATAATAAAGAATCAGCTTTTTAAATCATTATCTCTGGCATGAACAGATTGACATGTAAAAATGTTTGTTTAAAATGTAATAGCATATTAAATCATTAAACATTCTCTATGTTGAATCCTTTATTTTGTTGCATTTTATTCTCTCTGTTCTAGGGCTTTGTGGTTTAGTAAAGCACATTATAAATAAAATGTATTATTATTATTGTTGTTATCATCAAACATTTGATGCTGTGATCAACACCACAGTGAATAAAACAGAATATTTTTACGAGGCCTTTCTTTAAGCTTTGTTTTCTAATCTCACACACACAGACACCTTGCATAAAACATGCTTATTGCCTACAATTTGCACATCTAAGATTATTTTGTCAACTAGCACTGCCTTGTCTAATCTGCAACTCTGTGTGGGTTATTATATTATTTTTAAGAATATATTTATCTGTTTTGTGCAGCAAATGGATGACGCGGTGTACACGTTTGAGCAGCTGCTGCACCAGAGTTTGGAGGACCAGGAAGGAGAAGATCTCTGTAAAACCATCCAGCGCTGCCAGGATCGGGTCATCAAGGTAAAACACAATGTCCACCTGCCTTATCATACCTTTTGGAATCGTTTTAAACTTAATTTTTGTGTTTATTCCACATTGGTTCTCTAGAAATTTGACTATGACAGCAGCACTGTTCGTAAGAAGTTCTTCAGAGAGGCACTTCTGCAGATCTTCATCCCCTACATGCTGAAACAGCTCTCCCCATCATGCTCTGCTGTAAGTCCTGCAGCTGTTCTTATAGCAGTAATGCATTATCTGTTGGAAAAAAAAACACTCTGACATAGGGTGTATTCTGTTTTTGCAGGAGCTCCCTCGCTTCCAAGAGCTCATTTTTGAGGATTTCTCTCGTTTCATTCTGGTGGAGAACATCTTTGAGGAAGTGGTCCTGCACACGGTCATGAAAGATATAATGATGGGTAAGGTTTCTTTCAAAGAACAAGATGAGTTTAAAGCACTGATGTTATGGAAGTAGTGACCAATGTCTAAACTGTTATAACCCAAATGAAATTTTGCCCCAGATACTCCAGTTTCCTCCCACAGTCCAAAGACAAGCAGCATAAGTGAATATAATAAACCAATAGGAACAGTATATGAGTACTTACTGTATGTACTAAGCTTTCACTGCATGGGCATGCGCTGGTGTGGTTGGCGCTCTATTTCTCTAGGGCTGCTCCCGATAATCAAGGAAAAGGCTTAACGAATTCTGGGAGCTCTGGAGAACTACCTGATCTCGTACCCTCTTACATGATTATTGACCAGGCGAGAGCCTTGGGCTGACTTATCTCCAAGCTCAGGGTTCTCTCCTGAGACAGAACATTTACTCAGGAGAAAAAAATAAACCCAAAATGTCAATACTGCAACAGAAACCAAACTGTTAAACATGTACTTGTGGGATGCCCTATTTTTAATGTTATCAAAGAACTTTTTTTTATCTGGAGAGACTTAAAATGAAATATTTTTTAAATGTGAATGCTTCTAAAATTGTACAATTATTTTAGCAAAGAATAGTTTTAGATTTTTGTCTTTTATATTATCATTATTATTAATTAATTATGTATTTTTATCTTGTGTATTTATTGCTGTTGATTTACTTTTAATTTTTAGAATATTTTTTTTAATTATAAAAAAGTGTTATTTATAAAATATGGTAAACTTGATCTATTTTTTTTTTTTTTTTGCCATAGCATAGCCAGAGAAACTAAAATGACAATGAACTCAAAATAATTTCTCTTTCTCTCCTGGGACAGCATGCAAAATCTGCTAACATTATCAAGCAATATCTTGAAGTCTGAACACTTTTGTAATTTTTGTATTTATTTTTTTACAAATTGTCATATTCTACCAACATATTCTCTAAATGACTATAGTTTTTATTTGAAATTTGGAATAAATGTTATTAGAGATTCCACAATGCATTCATGCCATCAGTGTGGTCTGATCAACAATTCCTCTTATGTCTCTAGCGGTGAAGGAAGCAGCAGTCCAGAGGAGACACAACCTATACCGAGACAGCATTGTTTTGACCAACAGCGACCCAAACCTTCACCTCCTGGCAGAAAACCCTGCTATCGACTGGGCTGAGGAGTATGGAGGAGGCCAGGAGGAGGCAGGTGGAGAAAACGCTGGAGATCCCGAAGCTCAGAAGAGGCGCAGGATGAAGCAGGTGGTCTCCATGATCCAGTTAGAGGGCACTGCATCAGTGCTGCCCCACGAGTCATGCCTGGAAGTGCCCAACGTAGGCAAAATTCCAGAGGAGGAGGCCGAGGTACATTCAGACACCTCATTATCCCAAACATCTGAGAAGCAAGTGCCCAACGGAACCAAAGAGGATGTGAACAGAAATGCGTTTGAGGAGAAGCCACCGACAAATAGAAGTCCGCAAAAAGAGGAAGAGAAAACGATGGAAAATTCACCACAGGACACAGAGAGCAAGTCAGCAATAGATTGTGCCATTCAAGAAATCGACAAAGCAGTTCAGGAAGAGGAACAAGAGAATCGGACACAGAAAGAGGAAACCGAGATAAAAGCAGACACTCATTTACAAGAAATGGAAGGAAGTACAAATAAAGATCCACCTTTAGGTTCAGAGGATTCAGCCGTTAGGGAAGTGGAGGCCGTGACGGCATCAGATCAACAGGAAAATCACATTACGGAGGGTAATCAAGACTCCCACACGGAAAAGCCCATCTGTTCGTTACAGCAGGACGACAGTGGAGTCCAGTCGCCCGCTAATGAGGTAAAAGTAGAGGAGCATCCAATGGAAAAGCAGGAATGTAATGACGCTGAGACAGGAGAGGACACTGGGAAGGGAGAAAGTGCACACGTGTATCACCAGTGAAAAGACGATTCAGTTAATGTGTTTGTATGCCTGCAAACATTGAGGAAATGCATCACACATTGCTCTTAAAGGGATAGTTCACCCAGGTATGACTATTAACTCACTGTTTACTCAACCACAAGTAGTTCCAAACCCTTTATACGTTTCTTATTTGTGTTAACATTAAAAAAAAGATGTTTTGAAGAATGTTTGACATTGGTATTCAACGTTCTTTAAAATATATTGTTTTGTGTTCAACATAAAAAAGAAACGATCCATGTTTGGAAAAGTGCAGGGTAATTGATCAACTATCCCTTTAAAAGAGAGTTTTATTTTTACTATAGTCTCACATTTCTGACTGTATAGACATTATTTAGTGTCTATTGTAGTGTCTATTTTTGTTCTTGTCACGCTGTCACAATTTTTGCACTTAGAAAAAAAAAATCACGTCACTCAGAGCTGGACTCGATTATATACACGTCTTACAGTAGGTCAAAATGTCTTTCTAATCATAAATACGAAATCCACCTCTATTAGGATTCTCAATTATTTCTGAGTGTGCTGAAAATCATGACGTAAAGCAGACACATTCTGCCCGATGTTAATAGCATATGTTGCCTTATTTAAACTATGTTGTTGCATCAGATTGTTTTTACTGATCAAAGTCATCTGCCTCGCCCAGAATTCAAACTGAAGACTTTAATTTTTTCATAAGGTTTTTTCTATGTAAGTTTGTTTTATGCCTAAGCAATTTTTGTTGTTGCTGAAAATGGCATAAGGAAATGTCAGTTTTCTGCACATAAGATATTCTGATGCTGTGGTTTAACTGGTAAAGAGTGCATCATTTTAATCCCAGTTCCAAAACCGTACAAATGAATTCAAGTGATTTTCCAAATGGTGGCTTTTCCACTGTTGAGCTTTTCATTTTTATTATTATTATTATTTTTTTATGTGTATTTGCTTTATCAAATCCGTATCAAATCTCTGGGTTGCATGTGCACTGTAGTAGTTTTAGTTCATGCTGAGGATACTGTGCTGCAGAGGGTTGTGGGTCTTTGTGGAGATGTGTGTCATTTTATTTAAGACAGGTGAGGTTTTTTTTTTTTTACAGTAGGTCGATTTAATTCATATTCATGTTAGTACAGCGCCACTGACAGAAAACCAGATACTAATATTAGATCTTTGTATTTCAAATTGAAATGTTTGTTGTGCAAATAGTTGTCTTCGATGCATCTGCCCACAAGGTTTCCTCCTTGCTGTTTGAGATTTTCTTAAGTGCAGTTTTATCTATGAAATGACAAGTACTTTAACTTGGATGTAACTGAATATATTTTCTTTTATTTATTAGTTACAAGCACTTGGTACTATACTGCATCTTAACCTTTTTAATTGTATGCTACTCAAATCCTTTTGTGACTTATTTTATTGTTATGTTTTGAAAAAATAAATCATTCACTGACAGACAGTTGATATATTTTTTGTTTTTAAAATGTTTACTCAATTGAATCTGATAATAGTAACATTTTACAATATGGTTTAGTTGTTTACATTAGCTGAACAGATCTTGGACTGCAGTCATTTTAAACAATTCAAATTAACTAAAAGTTGATTGTTCAAATCAATGCACTACGAACTAACATGAATATGAATTTGATGTTAGTAAGTGCTATAAGTAGTATCTCCTATTAATTGGTTTATTAAATCCATTATTTATAGGTGTTCACCTGAAGTATTTCGCCAAATGTGGTGTGGTGTATCGGTTACACCAGCAGGAGGCAGTGCACACTTTTGTCACGCTAGCCGCACCAAATCCTGAACACTGGCCTGAACCAAGATGAACTTGCAGTAATATTTATTTATTTATTTACATTAATAACAGGGGATACATAAAACCTTTACTTTAACTAATATTGTGTGACCTGAATAAAAAAAAAAATACATATTCATTGTACAACTAGTTACACAAATGATACAAAGGATAAGGAAAAAAAAATCATACATGAAAGAAAAACAAATATTTAAAGAAAATGCTATAAAAACACACATAAATATCTTAAACAAAACGTAAATTATTAAGAGTGTTACCTAGGCGTACCAAAAGGGATCTGATCAAAAGTATTATGTTTGCTATTTTGATATGATAAATGACATTATTAATGACCAATGATATTATTGTATGATATAGTATTAATGATCAATGATATTATTTTGATATGCTATTATGATACGTGATATTATTAATGATCTTATAATAATAAAAAAAATTCAGCAGCTCAGTTGTTTTGGTAGCTTTCTTATTAAGCAGATAAGCAGATATATATACAAATATATACAAATATATACACACACAAATATATATAAATATATATATATATATATATATATATATATATATATATATATATATATATATATATATATATATATATATATATATATATATATATATATATATATATATGAGCGTCTGTTGAAACGCATTTTTATTAATTATCCAACGTACGCACCTGATCGACGTGATGACGACAATGTTTTGCGTAGCTCGAGCGCGCAAGCTCTGGTATTTTCTCCGCTCAGACTCAAAGTGAGAGAGATCGGCTCAGCTCTTCGTGTCAGTCACGCAGCGCACAGGCAGCATCATCAGCATCATCAGCTGCAGCAGCGAGCGATCCCGCACACCGTAAACACTCCTCATCCACTGCAGACCTGACTGCCATTGCACAGACATTACAGGCGCAGGTTTTCCGCGACTGTGGGACGGGGGAATGATAAACCCCGGGTCCCCAAAGCCGTTGTACTGCTCGTAAGGATGCGATCACTGAGTCGACCGTGGGCCTCGACACTCGCCGAGGCTTTCCTCATCACAACAGTGGCCGTCAGCGCCGCGATGGCAGGTAGGACGCGTGTTATTCTTGGCGTTTATAGAGACTGTGTAGCTAAACTGCTTACTTGGGTTAAGTAAACAATGTCTGCATATCAAATGTAAAATCTGATTGTACTTACCGCGTATGGATAATACATTATGAGTATTTTGATATTTTAGTACACAAAAGTCTACTTCAGATGTAGCTGCATAACCAAAATCTTAATTAGCGTATTTTGTATGAGATTTATTTTGCATCATTAACAATAACAGAATGTTTTGCTTATGTTTAGTGTCTTTTGGATACATTGAGGCTTGAATTTTTGTCTTTGATTTGTTGATTATTCTGCTCTATGGCCATCTGAAAATGATGAGGTCCTTTATTGAAATGAGCAATGATTTTAATATAGCCTAGTTAAAGTTTGGCAACCAAGTTTTAACATATTGTTGATTACTATTTGTAACCACAGGTTTACTAAAATACCATGGTTAAAGCTATGTTAGTTACCATGGATTAACTACAAAAAGGCCATAAGAACCATGGTAAACTTGCGTAAAGAGCATAATAAATGTCACGATGCATGAAAGAACAACAAATCTGTTGTGTGACGCAAATGGGAGAGATTCGCACCACCTTGTCATCCACATGTGTCCATTTTTGGAAATGGGTGCACATTGTTTTGATGTCATTCTCATATGACAGTAATTCCTCAGAGTTTTAGAGTCGTCTCCATGTTTGTCACTCGGCAGATTTTGCATTAATGTCCTGATAATGTCGCTCGGTTCATTGACACGTACACTCCGAGGGGCTCTTCTCTCTCACCTCTTGTTGTTGAGTAATGGAAACACTAACAGGCAATCAGCAGTCAGGAAGGAGGACTCCAGATCCTGACACGTTCCTTCTGACACGCAGGTCTGAGAGCTATAAATAAGAACAAAAAGAATGTAGAACATGACGGCCACTGGAGTCTCTCATATCAGACCAAAGACAGACTCTGCACTTGACACTCAAGGGAAGCATGCACAACAAAAGACTCTTTCCCATTTTACAAGGCCAGTTCTTGGCAGTTCATAACTTGTACTTGCATACGTTTACACTTATTTATATGTATCTTTGTTTGTTCTCTTATATTTACCCAGCTGCTCATCAACCGATACACTAAAAAACATTTACTATGCTGTTTTCTAAGAGGAACACTTACAGATAAAATGTATCTACTGTTAAAATTCAAAATGCAACTACAAATGTTTGACATTTAATGGATTTTTCATTCATTCGTTTTTTTTTTTTTCAGTTTAGTCCCTTTATTCATCAGGGGTCACCACAGCGGAATGAACCGCCAACTTATCCAGCATATTTTTTACATAGCGGATGCTCTTACAGCTGCAACCCATCTCTGGGAAACACCCATACACTCATTCACACAATTGGACAATTTAGCTCACCCAATTCACCTATATCGCATGTCTTTGGACTGTGGGGCGAACCGGAGCACCCGGAGGAAACCCACGCCAACCTGGGGAGAACATGCAAACTCCACATAGAAATGCCTTCTGACATTGTCGAGGCTTAAGAACTAGTTTGTCCAAAAATAAAAATAAAAATATATGTTTTTACTTACCCTCATGTCTTTCCAAACCCTTAACACAAATTAAGATTTTTTTTGTAAATCCGGGAGCTCTCTCATCCACCATAGATGGCAACTGTCCAATTCAAAAGTCCCAACTTTTATATTTATGGACTATTTAACAGCAAATATCGCATACTGTATGCATCCAATTTCTTAAAAATACCGCTTGAGCCTAAATTAATCATGAATGAACCTTTTGTCAGCTCACTTTGTCAATGACTCGGCAGAAAGCACAAGAAATCTTCCTCGTAAACATTCAAGTTCATGGTTAAAATCTAGCCTAGAGCGCATTCTGCTGTTAAAAAGAACGCTCAGAATTGATTCATTAGAGAATAGCAATGTGTTTTGAAGATCTCTGATATGATTTCTCAAAATATTTTAAAAAGCTGTTAATAGATTAAAGAGAACTTTGGTTTAACACTCATAGGTCCAGTCAAAAATGCGGGCATTTTATGCTATTTCTGTAGAAAATTGTTAAAAAAATCAGCGGATTTATGCAGAATGATTTTGGGAGTATCATAGCTAAAAATGTAATATGTTAAATACAAAATAGCTAACACTTTATTTTGATGGTTAATTTGAGTATTAGTAGACTGTCTGCTTAATATCTGTTGATACTGCTCCTTCAACAGACATTTAATTGACTATAGGAAAC